CCGCGGGCTGTCCGCGTGCACTTCCTCAGGAGAGCGTTCCTATTGTAACGGGCTCCCGCAACAGTGGTATAAAAACCATCAAGTCGTAACCTTTTCACCATTCCCCATACCGATGCCGAATGGCATGCTTATCATCAAATAAAAATAAAAACGGGTGTCCCAGCTTGGAATCCGCTGGCAGCGGTCTCTGAAACAGAGGTTCAGGCCCTTGAGGCAGCTGCCTGTGGGGAGGAGGGAGAGAGGGGATTGGGCAGAGGAAGAGCTACACTGTGCGGCCGGCTCGGCAGCCATGGCCACTGAGAGCTCTGCAGCAGAAGTAGGCTGATCGGAGTTGTTCCAGCTTCGATGGGAAGACTTGATCCTTTATATTCCTACCTACGCCTGTGCTTGGATGTGAGCCTTCCTCAGAAGGGCAGGACCCTGGTCAGGGGGCTCTCTGTAGCTGGTATGTGCCCTGAAGGGACTGAAGGCTGGAAGTGGTTCCCCAGAAACTGTCACAGTGGCTGGGGCACATTGCCACATGCACCACCAAAATCTCCTTACCCTGAAAAATGTCTGTCATCATTCACACATCATATGTTCTTTATAAGAGCACAAGAGGCTAACCAGTAATATGTTAAAAACTAGTTGTGATTTCAACAAATGGTGCTGGAGCAATTAGATATCCACAGGTGAGAAACAAACACCCTTGATACCAACCTCTCGTTTCATACAAATATTAACTCAAAGTGGATCATGGCCCTGGCTGGAATGGCTTGCTTGGTCGCAGTGTAGTCCCTTGCACCGAAAGGTCACGGGTTTGATTCCCTGTCAGGACACACACCTAGGTTGAGGTTCGGTTCCCAGTCAGGGTGTGTACGGAAGGCAACTGATTAATGTTTCTCTTTCACATTGATGTTTCTTTCTTTCTCTCTCTCTCATCAGTAAATATATCCTCAGGCAAGGATTAAAAAAATAGATCGTGGATTTAAATGTAACATGTAAAACCATTAAGACTTTGAAAAAGACAAAGGAGAAAATCTTTGGGACCTCAGCTTAGGCAAAAAATTCTTAGACAACATCAAAAGTTTAAGTCATTAAAAATCAATACATTAGATTTTATTAAATTAAAAAGTTTGTTCCACAAAAGCCATGTGAAGAGGATGAGAAGACAAGCTACACAAAGGAGGAAATATTTACAAGCCATGTATCTGACAAAGAACTGGTATCTAGGAAATATAAAAAGGTCTCAAAACTCAACAGTTAGAAAACGGGCAAAAGACATAAGCTAACATTTCATTGAAAAGGATATACAGATGGCAAATAAGCATATGAAAAAATGTTCAATATCACTAGTCATCAACGAAATGCAAATTAAAACCGCAATGGGACATGACTACATACCTATCAAAATGGCTAAAGTAAAAAACAGACAACAGTAAATGCTGACGAGGATGTGAAAAAACTAGATCAATTACATTTTTTGGTGGGAACAGAAAGTGGTACAGCCACTCTGGACAATAGTTTGCCAGTTTCTTGGAAAACTAAAATGTATTATCATGTGACTGAGCAATTGCACTCCTGGGCATTTATTCCAGAAAAGTGAAAACTTAGGTTCACACAAAAACCTATCCACAAATATTTATGACAGCTTTATTTGTAATATTATCACACTGGAAACAACCCAGATGTTCTTCAACAGGAATATTACTAAGCTAAAAAAAAGGAATAAACTATTGATATACACAATGACTTTATTGCATCTCCAGGGGATTATGCTGAGGGATGGGGGCGGGGTGAAGTTTCAAAAGGTTACATATTGCATTATTCCATTTATATAACTTTCTTGAAATGATGAAACTACAGAGGCCGATTATTCATTGCCAGAAGTTAAAGATGGAGGGGTTGTGTGTGAAGAAGTGGGTGTGGCTCCCATAAGTTAAATCACTGGGCCAGAGGGTACATTAATTTTACATATTTAAATAGGTAACTACTGAAGTGTTTTCCAAACGGCTGTATCAGTCGACTGGTTGGAAACAGCCCCCATTGATCCAGGTTCTCGCCAATATTTAGTACCATGAACCTTTCTCATTTATGTCATTACAGTTTGAATTTGTGTCTCCTTAATCACAGATCAGTATCGGCATTTTGTGTCTCTTTATAGATTGAAAGTATTCTACTATGAGAATTTTTAAAGTCTACTTTCTATTTTTTTCATTCTAGTTTTCTTTATTTATTAAAGATGATAGTAAAATTTGGCCTGTTTTTTTACATTGCATATTTTTACATTGTCTTTTATCTCATCTTTTTTCACAGAGATATTTTAAATTTTGATGTGGTTAAATGAATCTCTTGTCCTTCATGGCCTGGCATATGTATCTTGCTGAAGAAGGCCTTCTTTCTCGCTCTGAGAGTTCAATCAACACTCATTGGTTAGTCAGTCTCTTGTCTCCGGAGGGCAGCTCTATCCCAGAGTTCTAGAATACAGCCCCTAGGCATGACGCAGGTCCACCGTGGAGGAGCTAGCTCTCATCCCCTCAGGCTTCACTCCAGACTTTAATTCCCCTTTCCCCTTCAATTCCCCATCTCCAACCACACGCACACTGTGAAAACAACTTGGCACTAGAGAATGCCAGGAAGAGTGTTGGGAATTATCTAGTCTTAAACTCTTGTTTTCATAGATGAGGAGTGTAAGATCCTGACCTTGCTGTTCAACATGGTAGCCATAAGCTACATGTGTTTTTAAATTTAAGTTAATATTACACATGCAGTCACACTAACCAAATTTTAAATGCCTCATAGCTACATGGCTCATGTCTACTACATTTAGAACATTTCCACCACTGTAGAAAGTTGTAGTGGATAAGGCTGCTCTGGAGCTTTACTACTTAAAGGGTGCTCTGCTCACTGGCAGCAGCATGACAGGGATCCCTGGGAGCTGGTTAGGAACAGAGAATCTCAGTTTAGAGAAATCAGGCCCCACCTCAGACCTAAAGAGTCAGAATCTGCAATTTAACAAGATCCCCAGATTAGAGGCCGAGAAGCCCTAATCATGTGATTTCCCTGCCAAGGTCATACAGCTGATTGGCGGCCATCCAGGCCCTTCCCTGGACCTGGCTACCATTTTTTCCTTCCCTGCCCATGTCCTTCTAATCTCCCTGCCACACTTGCTTTCTCACTTTAATTACTGCATTTTATAAGCATTCATAGGGCAGCCAGGCCATTGAAGCCCTTAGGAAACCCCCCATGCCTTTATTCTCCTTCTGCTTTCCAAGTGTTTACGCGGCCGACTTGTGATAAAGGCCCAGTCCCTTGCGATGGCTGGGGTGCTGTTCAGCATTTCCCCTGGAGAATCTCTGTTGAGAGTTTGTGGGGTGGTGGGAGGGCACTAGGTATTAAAGCCAACCTTGAAACCATGGAGGCACCAATCATCAACCTCTGGCACACTTGGTGTTGGCCATACAAGGACAACATTTGGGTCTCTAGCCTCCCTCCATAGCCCTGGGGTAGAGTAGGCGAAGAAGACAATGTACTTGCCTTGCAAGTATGACCTCTGACTATCTGACTGGCACTCTGTGATCTCCCAACATAAATACTGCTCACTCTAGGTAATTCGTTAGTAGTTCACCAGAAGCGTTAGGGAGCTGGCAGCTCTCTCTCCTCCTGTCTGTCTCTGTGCAGCCGCCATAGGCATCTATGAGAGGAAGCTCTAGGTCCCCAAAGACCTCTGAGAATGCCTGTACACCAGCCCCTTTAGGAAGGTGCTGGGAGAATTGCCACCATACCTTTGGGTTTTGTTACTGAACTCAGCACCAGTGGGTTGGGGCTGTGCTCCAGGCAGCAAGCAGAGTCCCCAACAAACAAGCCTGGCCAATAAGGATGGAGGTGCCCCTTACGTAGATACAGTCTGAGAGGTGGAGATTATAGAGGGTCAGTTTATGAAGATACACGACAAGTCTCTAGCAATGCCATGAATTCCTGGAAAAGTGTTTCCCTAAGATACTTATAAATTGGATCAAATACCATAAAATAATTATTTTTATGCCCATGCTCAAGGGATTATGAGTGTTGTTGTTTTTTTTTTTTTTTAATCACAGAAAACACCATCCTTGTTCTCAAGGAACTTTCAGTGTGCTTGGGAGGAGATTCACTAATGTCCATTAAAAAACCACAACAATCATACAAGGCTGAGAATCAGAGAGCAATAGAGATAGTTTGAATTACAGAGACTCAGAGGAGAAAGAGGGTGTAGCGAGGGAGGAGACTTAGGGAAGGAGAGCACTGAGCTGCTTTAAAATAAAGGGTGATACATTAGCGCAGGCTCTGTAAAGGCACGATCTCTATTTCAGTGCTTCGTTTCTCAGCGCCTAGAACACAGCGGGCGCACAGTGGGCACATAGCAGGTACACAGTACATATGATAGATGAATGGTATCATTGCAAAAGCAGGCAGTGTCTGATGGCTAAGCGGCTCGACAACAGGTCAAGAAATGTTGACTTTTACACTCGTGATTCCCCCTCAAGCACTCTAAGCGCGGAAACACTCTACACCCCTCGGGTGGGCAGAGTGCAGGGTAGATGGGAGGTTCTGGGTTTGACTACTGCCGTAGCCCCAGCATCTAGAGCAGTGGATATCGATTGACTGAAGGGTCCTGTGGGTGTCCCTTTCCTCTTTGCTACCCACCTGCGTGGGAAGCGCTGGAGGAAAGCCCCATATCACCTCCATTACAGCATTTCCCTTCACCATTAAGCATCAATCGGATACTACCTTGGCTCTTCCAGGGCAAGGTCGTGCCCCAGTCCCTGCAGGGTACGAGCAGGCGCCCGCCTGGTACCCAGTACCTGACAGTACCAGTGGATGATGCATTAACACAGTCATTGAAATTAGTTACTACATAAATCTGCCAGGTCAGTCTCACCGCCCCTTCGAGGGTGACTGTCCCGTCCAGCGCCCACACCACAGCGCGTAGGGCGGGATGACGCATGCGTGACAGGTGTTTATCGGGAGCGGGGGTGAGGACAACAGGGGCCGGGCCGCTGGGCCCAGCGGCAAGGGCCGGGCACGCGCCTGCGCGCGGCCGCGCCGCCGGGCTCTGCCGAGCGGGCGGCGCATGCGTGGGCTGTGGCGGCCTTAAGGGCGGTGGCGGCCTCAGCAGCGCAGTCGGCGGGTCAGCCGGCTGGGAGGCACAACCGGGCGCTTGCGCGGCGACGGCAGTAATGGCGGCGGAGGACGAGGACATAGGCGAAAGGTGAGTGCGGCCGGGACTGGTGGGACGCGAACGCGCCCCTTCCATGTGGGCCAGGGCCGAGGTCGGGTGGGCAGCGCTGAGGACGCGCCTGGCCGCTCCCTCGCGTTGCCCGGAGAAGGCGCCTGGCCCGCCCTGTCTCGGCGGGCGCCGGTCGGCGCCGGGGCGGCAGGTGACAGAGTCAGACCCCGGCCGCGCCGGGATGCCGTTTGGCCCCCGCGTGGAGGTGGGGCCGCGTTGTTGTGTGAACGTCTCCGCGCGGAGGGACGGCGCCGAGGGTGGCCCGTCACCCGGACGCGGCCTCGCCATCCCCAGAAGCTCCCCTTAGGGGCAGCGGCGGCCTCGGACCCCGGCCCTGCCCCAGCGCGGCCGGCGGGCCGTGACCGGCCGTCCCTGCACCTGACTGGAGTCACAGGGAACGGCCGAGTCCCCTTGTCCGCTTCCGTGTGCCGCTTCCGTTTGCAGGTACGCGTCGTGCTCCCTCCAGCTTGGGACCAGAACAAAAGTGCCGCCGGGGCCGAGTTTCCAACGCCTGGAGGAAGGGGCGGTGCTTCCTGGGGGCGCTCGCGGACGGAGAGCCCGAATTTACCCTAGAAGCCGCGAGACGCAGGGAGGGTGTCCAGGGAAGGAGGAGCCGGTCGTGAGGGCAAGGGGGTCAGGGGAGTGGGCATGTGGCTTTCGATTTCAGAAAGCGATTAAGTTAACACGATATGGCCAGCAAGTTCGGAATTAATCTTTACAGCGGAGATCTCGCCTTGCTTCCAAGTGTTCTGGCTGACGGGAGAACTGTGTTCGCGCGCGCGTATGTAGAAACTATATTAAAGTGGGAAGACGGGTGTCTAATGTGAAGCTTGTTGATAGACAAATATACTGTTTAAATTATTTTTTCTACCTGTAACTAACTTCACGCGCTTGTCAATAGACAAGTGATAGTTAATAAGTGGAAGCACTAAATTGCTGTCAACACTAGTTCTTTATTTTCTTAAGGCTACTCATTCATATTGGAGAGTAAATAAGCTTCTGTGCGCCCCTATGTATGTTTAACATTTTGATAACAGTTCTATTTCAGATGTTTGGATAAGTTTGCATGTAAAACATCTAAATGATAGAAGATAGTGTGGAGTACCATGAAGATGGATATTTGGAAACGTGGAGAGAGGGGTGTTGTGAAATACTAGAAACTAGGTTCTTTGAGTTTCGGGTATGTGATAAATGGATCCATTGTTTTGGCTTGGTTTTGAATTTCCTTGTTCAGGGGAGATGGTGAGTGTCACATGGACACAAGCAGGAACCTAACTGGTTGCTTCTTCCTGTATAGTTTGTCACAATGTTTTTGGCTTTTTGGAGACTGCTTTTAGGTGGATTCTATTTATCTCTCTGTTGTTGTGGGGCCTGGGAGTCCAGGGTACAGCTGGGAAAGGAATTTATGGCTTTGAGTGATGGCTGGAGGTCACTGGGGACAGACTATAAAAAATCCTTAGCAGCTGACTAGTGCCACAACAGAGGTGGGCCTCCTTGGCGATACACTTGAGTAATGTCCAGTGTCCAAAGTAGTTAAGGCCTTCTGAAATATCCCAGGCACGACAACAGGTACTCGCTCCTTCTGGGTGTTCCCTAAGTGTGCTCATGTTAAATCCAAGTTTGCCCCCGTGTGCTAGGTATTACTGTTCCCATTTTTCTGTTGGGCCAGCCACTGGGAGGCTACTAGCCCCGCACCTAGTAAGTAGCAGGGCTGAGTTGGAGTCCCTAGGTGTCTGGATTTAGTCTAAGGTGCTTTCACTGTGTTTCTACTGCTTCTCCCTGGGACAGGAACTCATCTGGGTCTGTGGTTCTTGTTTCTTTAGCTTATCCAACTGGCACTCTCTAGTCCTTGCATTGTTACAGGGCTCTTTATTTGTTTATTTATTTAATTTTTATTTTTTGGTAATCGACAATAGAGCTATCCCAAGAGCCAAGTATATTGTGGGAAAACAAGTCTTGAATCAAGTTTCTTGTCCTAAAGACATTTCAGATTTCGATGGAAGTATGACTCAACAAAGGAAACAATTATAAAAAGTCTTAGGAAGGTTTTTTGGAGCATATACGATGCTTGTGTTTTCCTTCCTGACTCAGAAGTCAGGCATGCCTGGGAGCCATTGGCTTTCAGCATCTGATGCTTTTCCGTTGAGATACAGTTGAGAAAGCTGAATGTAACAAGAGTAGGGGAGACTTCTGTGACTTGCCGCAGGGTTGTCCCAGAGAATGGTACCAGTTGAGTTTAGAGGAAAGCTGTCTCATAATTGCTCAGTTGCAGAGTAGACCATAAAATGGGTGATTTGCAGTGGGGAGCTGTAGTTGACTTGTCCTGGCAGTTATTGCTAAATTTTCAGGAATTTTGACACCTGTTGGCAGCTGGAAATCAGGCATAGTGGTAGTATTTACATCATGGGAATCATCAAATGCTATAAATATGGATTTTTTCCTCTCCTTCCCCTCTAGTGGATTTACCAACCCCTTACAGGATTTAGGATAGGATAGAATTTGAATAGTTCTTGGAGGCAGGAGAATGGATCTCTTCTTTTAAAAGACTGCAAATCATTGACTCCTTTATGTTGCCATCTCCCAAACCTTTGCCATCTGATTTCTTAAAAATCACAGAACTCCTCAATGTCATAGCCCTTGGGCTTTTATTTTTCTCTGTATCTATCTTGCTTGGGACCTTTTCAGTGTTTAGCACTCAAAAGGTAGCCGGTCCTTTTTGAAACTCTTATCAGACTTTTTTAGTTCTTACGATATTGCACTTCTTGTCTTACTTCAGGCCAATAGTCACTTTTATTAGGTTCTCTTCTTTTTCCCATTCTTTAAATGTAGTCATTCTCCAAGATTGTATCTTCATCTTCGTTTGTTTTGTTGTTTTGCTTACTTACACTCCTTGAAAAATCTTGTCTGTGGAGAGCACTGGAATTTCATCCTCCTTATGGAGCCCTCTGCAGTATCGTGACGTTTCTATTTGTGTGCCAGGTGTTTGCACCTGGTTCCTCAAATGTAACATGTCCAGACCAGGATCTTATTTGCATCTTCCTTTCCCTGAACTAAGAAGTACATAATGCTCAGTTCTTCCTTTGGCTTCCCTATTTTTATTAGGACACTTTTATTAGGGTTCCTCCGGTCATCCAGATTCTGAACTGTGGCATGATATTTTGACTCCCCTTTCCCCTCTTCGTTGCCCTGAATACCAAATCTGTTACCAGGTCCAGTAAATTCTAAGTACAGCATCACTTTTCTATTCCCACTGTCACTTGGGAGCCACCTAGTTCAGACCCTCCTTAGTCTGCGTTCTGGATTATTGCAGGCTTTAGTAACACATTCTGTTCCTGTGCTCTCAACACAGCTTATTTCATTACTTACTTTTATATCCCCAAGAGGTAGAGTCTTGTTTGCAGCATAGCCACACACACCGGCTTTATTCCGTGTCCTCAGCGGGGCCGCAGAGCCCTTGGCAGGCCGTGCGCCTCCTGTCCGCCTCTGGAATCATGTTTCCTCTCTGTGCGCTGGGCTCTGGTCAGGCTGTGTCCTTCGCTGTTTCCTAAGCATGTGCCTTGCTGTCTCCATTTCCCGGTGGAGTACCTAGTTCATATTGTTGTCTCTGACCCAAAACAGATTGTGATCTCCCTTCTTTAAAGGTCCTTGGAATTTTCCTAAACTCTCTTATGGCTTGTATACCATGTTTTTAGTACAGTTATTTGTGTGTATATATTTTTGGGCAGCTCGCTGAGGACAAAGCTTTTGTTTTACGCAGATGTCTGGTAGGAACCTATTATGAGGGGTTTTATAAATAGTAAGATACAATACATTTTTGTTAAATAAATGTATGGTGGCCCAAACATTAAGATCAAAAACCTAGTAGTTGGTTCTATATTTTGCAGCTGTGTGACTTAAATTTTTTCATCCCAAGGTACTCAAAGAACATCAAAAGATATATTCATAAGAATTCAAAGTTTGAATTTGATTAGGACAATTAGAATCATCATCTTATTATATTGGAGAGGTTGAGAATATGATTTTATTTCTTGACTTTGGATAAGCCAACCCATGCTTCGCTGTTTTGCCTGTTTCCAAAATGCCAATCACAGACCAACAAATTCAGATTTCAGCCATCTGACAAAAGAACTTCACAAAAAATCAAGTCCCAGGGATGGCCCACCTAGTAAAAACAATACTGGATAACACATTTCAGAATAATATACATAACTAAATGAGTTCTTAAAGATTTGACTTATTTACAATAGTTCAGAAACATTATATTGTTAGGTTGTGATTGTGAATCATAAAAAATTATGTTGAAAGATCAGTTTTATTAAAAAAATTTCAGTTTGAACCCTGGGATTTAAAATTTTCTTTATCTAGTGGATGAAATTATTTTAGAACTAACACAAAACATCACTTGAATTTATTAAGCAACTTAAATTACAATATAAATCTAAAATTGCACACATAGTTTTCTTTAAGTATGTTTCCTGCACCTGACTCCAGAATCATTTGCATACTGTGTGAGAGAAGGTAGGAAACAATTGCGGGGAAAATATTACCAGCACAGGGCTGTGTAAAGCACTGAGTCACCAACTCTGGATCTTGAAAAGTTACAGGTTAGAAATGTTAAAAAGAAAGAAAGGAAGGGAGGGAGGAGGGGAGGGAGGGAGGGAGGGAAAGAAGAATGTTAATGAATGTGTTAACATATATTAGAGGCCCTGTGTTGTCACTGATATAATGGTTAGTGTAACTTAAATCATATAAGTATAATTTATTTAAAATAAAGTAGCATGTTAATCCCTTAAATTATGGTCATATGAGACATATCTTTTTTTCCCCTCCCTTTTCCAAGAATGGGATTTAGAAAGTCATTTCTCGGGAAAGAAGGCTGTTTTATTTGCCCAAGTGTTATATTACCTAATTTGGAAATATTCAATCATTCATTGGTTGAGGAATTATTTCAGAGGCATATGTGTCTATGGACCTCTAAATTAAATGTTTATAACAAAAATCAAAACCTCTAAATGAGATCCATAGTTTCTCTAAATGAGATAGAATACTGTGCGTAGAATAGCTTACAGAGAGCACTAATAAGCCATTATAATTTTCTTCTCATGATAGTACCAGCATAAGGGTGGAAGCCATATTTAAAATTGTAATATAATGAAATCCTGTTTACTTATAACCTAATTAGAAATGTTATTTAAGTGGCCAAAAGTGTGTGGAAATTGGCCAGACTTTTATATATTTTCTTCAGAATACTTTGAAACCTCTTTCCCTGTTTCACAATGTTTATAGATTGTGCAATTCAGGTTTGGTAATACTATAGATAGTCCAGTGTCTCGGAGAACAAAACAGGGATTACCAGGAAACCTAAATGTTGATAGGACATAAGTACAACATTAATGATATTTTTAAAAAACAAATATTACATAGAAAGTTAAGGGAAAAATTTCAGTGTTTTATCTCTCAAACTCAGGATACTTAAAATCATATTCTTAAGTTAATAAAGTCTATTAATAGGTTAAGTACATCTTTGGCTTTTCTTACAATCACATCTAGTGTAGTCTTTTAAAGCTTTTCTTACTCCAAAGTATGCCCACTGGAAAGATTCTTTGGTTGTATTTGTTTCAAAGATTATAAAACAAGATTCCCTTTATTTGTTTGTTTGTTTATTTTCGATTAGATGCTTTAGGGCTTAGATACTCAGCTGTGCTAAGGTCAGTGCTCAACTCATGGGGTTGCGTAGAAAACCTTTTGGTGCACATTGGTGGGCCTTTCTTTTGTCATAAATAGGTATAATTCCTATAGTGAATGGCTTTTTGTTTTTCTTTTCTTTTTTTTGTTGAAGTATAATTGACATGCAACATAATATTGGTTTCAGGCGTACAACTTAATGATTTGACATTTGTATACGTTGTGAAATGATCACCACACTAAATTCGTTGACCATCTATCACCAGATATATATAGTTCTGAAAAGTTTTCTCTTGTGATGAGGACTTCTAAGATTTACTTTCTTAGCAACTTTCAAACTTACAATACAGTATCATTGACTATAGTTATCATGCTGTACATTACATTCTCATGACTGACTTATTTTATACCTGGAAGTTCATACTTCTTGAGCCCCTCCACCCATTTTACCCAACTCCCCTCCACTTTGGCAACCACCGGTCTGTTTTCTGTATCTAAGAGATTGGTTTTGCCTTGTTTTTTAGGTACTACATTTAAGTGAAACCATATGGTATTTGTCTTTCTCTGTGTGACTTACTTCGCTGAGCACAGTACCCTCAAGGTTCAGCCATGTCATCATGAATGGCAAGACCTCCCTCCCTCCCTCCCTCCCTCCCTCCCTCCTTCCTTCCTTCCTTCCTTTTCTCTCGCTAAGAAGTATTCCATTGACTGTATCTACCACATCTTCTTGGTCCATTTACTCATTGTGGGTACTTAGATTGTGTCCACATCTTGGCTATCGTATATAATGTTGCAATGAACATTTTTTCATGTGCCTGTTGGCCATCTTTATGCTTTCTTTGGAAAAATATCTATTCAGTTCCTCTGCCCATTTTGTAATCTCGTTTTTTTGTGATTGAATTGTATCAGTTCTTTATATACTTAAATACTATAACCCTTATCAGATAGATGACCTGCAAATGTCTTCTCCCAGTGAATGGCTTTTTTTAATATTGTTATTAACATTTCAGTCACTTTTGAAATTAGACCCTCAGCAATAGATGATGGTGTTTATTGATTATCTGCCTAAATAAGGAAGTTAAATTTTGCTTTTCTGTTTATTTTCCAAAGCTGTGAGAAGACATCTCTGTATTTTGTTCACTCTTTTATTGGTGAGCCACATGAATTTAATTTTTACTTTGGATTTTGTGACCTCAGAAGAATGGCTGGATATCTGACAAGCTTCAGCCTTGTGTCCTTAGTTACAGTATCATGTCCTTAGTTCTAGTCTTTCTGGACTAAAAATGCAGAACAGCGCTCGGTGAAATAGGAGGTCACGTGGGAGGGGCAGAGCTGAGGTTGGATGGGTGTTTTAGAGCAACAGAGTGGCAAGTGAAAGTGTGGGAACTCAGGAACAAAGGGTGATGAGCTAAAGGATGGGAAAGATAAACCCCTGCTTTTTACCCTTCAGAAATGTTCCTTTGCGCTTACTGCGTGCACTGTGCTCAGTCCTGTAGATGACCTCTAAAAAAGAAGTAGAAGACAGTTTCTATAATATCTGGTGAAGTCAAAACTGATTGAACAGAAACATTATCAGGACTCGGGGAAGAGAGGTATCTTTACAGTTCCATTATGAGTGAAAATCAAATATTTTACTATGTTTTATTAAATGTAGTTTTTTTAGTTTAAATATACTTTGAAAAACTCCACCTAAAAATCATCTGCTTTGGTGCTCGCTTCAGCAGCACGTTCTAACATTGGAACGATACAGAGAACATTAGCATGGCCTCTGCGCAAGGATGGCCCGCAAATTTGGGGAGTGGTCCATATTCTTGTGTGGAAACAAGAAGCAGACTGACAGCGATCAGAGTGGAGGGGGTGGGGGATAAAGATGGAGAGAAGGGAAGGGACGAGTCAAGGATCGTGGGTGAATGGCCCCTGGACACGGACAACAGGGCGGGGATTGTCTGGGAGGGGAGCCGGGCGGAGGAGAGCAAAGGGGGGCAAATTGGGACAACTGTAATGGAACACGAACAAAATATTTATTAAAAAATATCTGCCTTGATGAAAAGGTTGTTGTGAAAACATGAAGAGTGAGAGTGGCTTGCGGTTGAAGAGCCCTAATTTTTAAGCCCCACACTAGACTTGCACAGAACATTGCTCTCTTTGAGTTAAGCCCACCACTAGGAGACAGAATGCATGGAAAAGACAGCTGATCTTTTGAAAGTTGGTTTTATGCTAAGAAGTGGACATAATTCCTGTATTACAGACGTGTATATTACATTTTAAACTCTAGTGCCTTGTACATTGTAGGCATTCAGAGAATGTTTTTTTGGGTTTTTTTGTTTGTTTGTTTGTTTTAAGGCTGAAACAAAGTTTGCATTTGTGTTTTCTTTTCCTCAACATGCCTATGATGTCAGTTGGAGTAATAGTAGATTATAGTTCATTTTACCTTTCCTCCCTCCCTCCCTCTCTTCCTTCCTTCCTTCCTATTCTCTCTGGCAGAGAACTGGGTATGATTTTGAGGGAGATTTCAGTAACTAACTTCTTGGTACTAGCTCATTTTTGTGACTACACATGGAACTTGATGACCATTCCTGGACAAAGACTAAAGAGCTTTAGCCTAATAGTGGTTTACTTTAAAATTTTTAAGCTATAAAAATCATGAGATTCTCCTGTATATACATCAGAAACTGGGAAGTTACTTGAGAAACTAATAACAAGGATTAGCTATATTTTGGGGAAAGGATATGAAATAGGAGGATGAGGAATAGGATAGGATGTAAAAAATAAAATAAAAATCATGAGATTGTTTTAATTGCTTGTTAACTGCTTTTTTCCAACAACTGAAAATTTGGTAGATTGACAAATTCTCTACTGAAGCCTTAAATTGTTTTTCCTTGATAATTTGTAAATAGGTTTATATATTTGCAAACAAGTTAATGTTAATAACATTTTATATTAGTTTATACTTTGATAATAAGTTATATGGAACGTTTATGGGGGATACCTAGAGGTCTTGTCTTACCCTGTTAATGCAGAAGGTTTGAAACGAGCAGCAGGGAACGCTGGAGTAGAGCCTCACTGTAATATCGGCTATAATAGATATTCTGTTCCATGCAGGTCTGAGGGCTGTCACTGTCTTGTAGGTAATGAGAAGTCCTCATACAGTTTAAAGAAGGTAGTCACCTGCAAAAAAAAGGGCCTTTGAACTCATATCCCTACTTGTATCACTTAACTTACTAGCCATGTACTCTTGAACCTGCCTGGTGTGTAATTTCTGAACCTCAGTTTTCACATCTATGAGATAGGGATAACGTGGACTGTGAATAACCGGCATTATGAGTTACTTAATCATTCAGCAGACATTTATTGAGTACCTGTTACACATATGCCCAGAGGAATTTTACAGGGAAGGGAATTTTTGGAGGACGAGAAAGCTTTGCCTACAAAGCTTAAGCAAAGCTGGATGCTGGATCAGCCCATCTGAAACTTAGCACGGTTCTCTGCTCACCCCTGTTCTTACTCATGCGTTCTGTGATGGTGTTAGCGGCACCTAAGAGACCTAGGGAGCCTTTATTGTACCTTTATATCCAGCCAATTATCATATCCAGCCTGTTTTACTTTTTTTTTTTGGTATAAAACTTTATTGTGGTGAATTGCTTACACTTTGAGTGTTCGTACATTGAATTTTGACATATGCATACATCTGTCATTCAGTCACCTCTTAAGATAACATCATTGTCATCCCAGAAAATTCTCTTACTCCTCAAGTGATCTCCTTGTAATTCATTGCAACCAATTCATTTCAGATGAAGCAATAACTTTTTCATTCATGCCATCATTGTATATTAATATGACAGGTATTGGAACAGAAACTGATAATATAGTCATGAGCACAAAGTCCTTACCTTCAGGGATATTGCATTTGGGTAAAGGTGGTGATGAATAGGAAATTTTTAACACAACTTGAGAAGAAAAAGTTGGAGCTCAGGGTGCCATCCTGCCACCTTGATCTAATCCTCTCTGGGGAAATGAAATCTAATCTGAGGTTGGCGAGAGGTGTAATGAATCATGAAAGGAAGGGGAGAAGCATATTCCAAGGATATACAGAATCAAGGAGCAAGAGAACAGGGAATATTGTATGGCTAGAGACAAGAGAGAGAACAAGAGCTGACAAAACCGACACCAGAGTGTCAAGCAAAAGGCTGGAGAAAGGCTGAGTTTCCCATTGTAGGTCAACTAGAAGTAGCCTTAGCTTTTTTGAGGCAAGGAGTGATGAAAAATGACAATTCTTTGTCATTTCCATCTTTGAACTCCCTCTGAATCTTAGCTAAAATTCTTTATTTTAGGAATTACTTCCTAATTAATGCCATATAAGTTTAGTGAATTATTGTTGTCATCAATATAATGTCAGCTATATACCATTTATTGAATGTTTCTACGTATTTTATCTTGGGACACACCCCATGCCTTCTGTTTGTGGTAGTGGTCCCCAGAGATAACGGTCTCCAAACATACGGCCAAATTCTAATGCTTAGAACCTGTGAGTGTCACTGTACATGGAAAAGACTTGGCAAGCTTTTAACCTAACTGGTTGAGTTAAAAATTGCGACCTGACCCTGGATTACCTGGGTGGGCTATCAATGCATTCACTAGTGTTCTTACAGGTGATCGGCAGGGGGAGGTCACAGGCAGGCAGAAGAGGAGAAGACACGCGGGAAGCAGAAGGCAGTGTGGTGATGGACACAGATGGCTGGGTGACTCTGCTGCAGGACAGGGGGCAGCAGCAGCCAGCAGGACTCAGAAGGGGCAAGGAGTGGGTTTTCCCCAGAGCCTCTGTTGGGAGCATGGCTCTGCTAACCCCTTGATTTTAGCCTGATGATACTGATTTCAGACTTCGGGTCTCCACAGCTCTGATGGAATAAATTTCTGTTTTAAGCCACCAACTTTGTGGTAATTTGTGACAGCAGCCTTTGGAAACAGCCTAGTGCCCCTGTTAGAATGCCACCTGTAGGTTTGCTCTGCCTCCCTGCCCCTGCACCCCTGCAAAACAAAAGGGGAACAAACAAATAGGAAATGGCTTTAATGTTCCACTCTTGAGATTGGAAGCCTTTTTATAAAAACAGTCTCATATTTTGATAAGATTTCTCTTCTCTCAACCCTCATAGCAGGTACACTTTATACCTGCTGTGAACCTGTCACTGAACTGAACCTCCTCACGGTCTCTGGCTTTTCCGCACTTCTGCCCTCGTAGGAGGCTCTCTTGCAGTGGGGTAGGCGAAGGCCCTTTTTGTCTTGTCTTGTTCTGCCCATTTTTAACCTCTGCTTGATTATTCGGAACCTGACTATCTGTAAAGATAAGGTGGGCTTTGGTATCTACCTGTAGGTTTGCAGGCTGCAGCTGAGTGTATCCCAGCACTTTACTACAGTGCTTTGTACCTATTGGGTGAATTTTGTCACATAAAAATAGCTTCACCATCACACAGTCAGTAAGTTTCCTACTCTGCTTTCCTTCTCTGTGTGTAACAGTTGGGAGTTCAGAAGAACATGACCTCACCTATTTGTATTTTGTTTTTGATGCCCTAGGTCAGGATGGCTAACTGGTTGGCTTCCCACATGGTGCCCTACGTCTACATCACACCTTAAAGAAGCTGAAGAGAAAATATTAAAATGTAAGGTTTTCTTCTTGTAAATTTAGCTGTTTGCTAAAATAGGTCCAATATTCACACTGTCCTGAAACTGAAGACAGGATTTTGTGGTGTGTTAGTTGTTGGAAAAAGAACCTTTTTTCCTTTTCCCTGCCATCAGCAAGGGCTTAAACACAGGGAGGCTGTGGTTCTCAAACATTTCAGTCTTGGGTGTCTATTATACTCTTAAATTAGTAAAGACCGTAAGGAGCTTTCTTTTTAAATAGGTAATAGCCGTCATTTACGATATTAGAAATTAAAACTGAGTAATTTAAAATGTTAATTTAGCCCTGGCCAGATGGCTCAGTTGGTTGGAGTGTCATGTTATATACCAAAAGGTCATGGGTTTGATTCCTGGTCAGGGCACATACTCGGATTGCAGGTTCTTCCATCCCTTATCTACCACCCCTGGGGGGAAGGGGAGACACATACGAGAGGCAACCAGTCCATGTTTTTCTCTCACATCAATGTTTCTCTCTCTGTCTCCCCTTCCCCTCACCTTTCTCTCTCTCTCTCTCTCTCTCTCAAAATCAATAAACATATCCTCAGATGAGGATTAAAAATGCGTATATAAATTTATTGATTTATTTTAAAATAATAGTAATAAACCCATTACAGGTTAAAATAAATAACATACTTTCTAAAAACAACTACTTTCCATACAGAAATGTAGTAAGGAGTGTAGCACTATTTACATATTTGCAAATCTCTTATTGTCTAGCGTAATGTTAATATAAGGCATCTGGATTCTCTTACCTGCTTCTGCATTTAGACTGTAATGACATCTTTTGTGATCTCTAGAAAACTCTACTATATACCTATCAAAGAATAAGAGTGCAAAGGCAAATGAAGTCTTAGTAGTATTATGAAAATAGTTTTGACCACATCAGTCTCCTAAAAGGTCTCAGAGGTTGCCCGGAGGTCCCTGGACTACGCTTGGAGGACAGGCTAGAAACAGCCCAGAGCAGGTAGGCTTGTTGCATGGGATAAATACTGGGCCAGAACAAGGTAACCTGGTCCAGGCCCAGATCTCAGTTAGGTAGTTACAGGATCTTGGGCAAACGACTTTTTACAGCTTCCTGATTTTTACCTGTGCAAGGGGTAGGATGATCCTTCTAATTCCTTTTGGTTCTAGTTCTCTGGGATTCTCTAATTCTGCACTTAAAATGGTGTGGAAACCTTTTTCTGTGTTTGTTTCTTATGGGCTCTAAAATCCATCCACACCTGTACTGTCAGGGTGTTGCCAGGTGACTGTGGGTATACTTTTAAGCAATAGTGTTTGTGGTACAGTTTCGTTCTGCTGCTTTGGTTTAGAGGCATGGATTAAGTGGTGCAGTTCGTGTACATGATTATTGTGTATGTATACGCAGATGTTTGTTGTGTATGTTTTCCATCCTCTCTACCACAAACAAATTTTCTTGTTTGCACATTTGAATGATTGAGGAGTAAGAAGGGACAGTTAGTCATCTTACATGGATTTTTAGCATGAAAATAAATTCCTACTCTGTATGCTTGAGTGATCTTGTTATCTACAAAGCTGGGAGAGTTGTCCCTGTGGTTTGCTAAAATAAAAAAAAGTTCTTACAAGTTGTTGAGCTCACGTGGTGGGGGCATCCCTCCCCCGCCGCCCCCAGCCTTCCGTCCTGTGGAGTTCAGCCCTGCTTTGTGTTCATGGCGCATTATACCCAACGTGGAGTGGCTGGCACTCAAGGTGGCTGATAACTTGCGTCTGGTCAAGGTACCGAAAGGGTTAGGAGCATGCTGAGAAATTCCTTAGGAAGAGGTACCAAGTGCTGCTGAGGTGCACATGCTGGAGGGCCCCTTGCAGTGCCCAGAGTCTAGACACCTGTTTCTCATCAGCTGGGGTTTCCCAGCATGCTGCTGGCTGGTGAGGCGAGAGCCTCAGTCCTGCCAGGCACCGTTTTTTTATTCTGTGACTGTGTGTATCTCTGTTTATGTGTGATATGTCCTGCTAACTAGTTCTGTCATGTGTATCCCCAACACTTGACCCAGTGACACACTAAACACAATGTTCTTGAGCTCCATGTTATATTTTTCCCCCTCATTAGGGGTTCAAAAACAAAACAAAAATACTTGTCAGGAGATAAGAAAGGGTACTAGATGCTCAACTCAGGCATTAAACAAACATACTGATTCCCTACTGGTAGGTTATAGGGATGCAAATAGGAGTGAGAATTGGCCCCTGGGTCAATGTCAGACATGAAAGCAAGTGACTGATGAGGGGGAGTGAACTGCCTCATGCAGGTCACAGATGGCCTTTGTGGGACTATGCACGCACCTTTGTTCACAGTGCTCACGTGGTTTGCTTTGGCCCTATAGTGCTGCATCATCTCCTCCTCTAAACTGGTGGCATTTCCTTCCTGTTGTTGGCATGGGCTCTGGGCTCTGTTAACACTCTGGATGAATGCTGCATTTCCGCTTTACTGCCACTGTGTGTGTACAGGTCCTGAGATTATTTCTTTAATTAAAGGGCAGAGACTCCTGATTCTCCCCCAGTATTTGTCTGTCTAGATGAATGTGACAGACAAGAGGTACATCTAAAGTGTATAGCTACTCAGTTGATAATATAAATGAATTTCAAACTAGTTTCATCTTTAATCTATTTGGGGGGAAAGTTAAAGTATTTACTCCTACAGCATTGAAGACAAGAGTTTTTATCTACAAAATGATGATTATTTACATTTTCTAGAGAGATTCTTGGACTCGAGCTCATACTATGGCACATCATACAGAAAGGTTTCTACCATAACTTGTCACCTTTCTTCTACTAACCTCTGAAATGACTTAAGATTTCAGTTACGTGTTTAATACAGATAATGTTAATCCTTCCCTACATTTATGATTTACTTTTTAGGGGAAAATGTTTCTTTTGAGTCTGAGTTTTAGTCTTTGATGCTTAATCTTCAAGTGTTAGACATATTCAAGGTGGCATTCTTTTGTTATCATTTGCAAAGATAGAGACCTCCAAATATTAGACTCGGTGAGCTCTGAACCTCTCTCCAGTTCTGGAGGTGTGATACTCGCATGCGATAGAAGAGGAAAGAAGCCCCAAGTGCCAACGTGACGTACCCAAAGGTCTTGACCAAGTGAACTTGATATTTGTCTGAGATGGATCATCCCATGTAGATGTAATATATGATAGTTTAGGATTACTTGCTTCACTGAAATGTGTACTTTTTTTTTTACTTTAGGGATGACATAATAAAGGCTAAGATCATACGAATGGGCACCAGATGATTTCTAGATTATTAATCTCTGATTGCTCGGAAAATACTCTCCTTCTCAGAGGTAGTGAAGTTAAGCACAATTTCTCTTTTATGTTTTTATTAGGTGTCCCCTGCGCATACAAAAAAGAACCTGTTCATATATCTAATGGAAATAAAATATGGACACTGAAGCTCTCTCACAATGTTTCAAATAAGACTCCACTTGTCCTCCTCCATGGTTTTGGAGGGGGTCTTGGACTCTGGGCACTGAATTTTGGAGATCTTTGCACTGATAGGCCCGTCTATGCTTTTGACCTGTTGGGCTTTGGAAGAAGTAGTAGGCCCGTGTTTGACAGTGACGCGGAAGAAGCAGAGAATCAGTTTGTGGAATCCATTGAAGAGTGGAGATGTGCCCTAGGACTGGACAAAATGATCGTACTGGGACACAACCTTGGTGGGTTCTTGGCTGCTGCTTACTCACTGAAGTACCCGTCAAGGTAAGTGCAGTGGCAGGAGAGAGGCACCCGGGTGCTCGTCTCTAGTGCCCTCCTTGGTGGTTGCTGGTGGCTGCATCTTACCCGACACATTCTCTCAGAGGACCTGTAGATCAAATAGTCACAACTGATGGCCAATTGAGTTAGTTCAAAGCAATTGAACTAACAATGTCAGATTTTCCTGTTACATGTGTTACACATTTTTAGAAGGCGTGAGAAGGGGCTTTTTTATTTGTTAAACTTTGAATGTGTACAGTTGAAGCCACAAGTAAATATTGTTATGGTATTGCTTATTGTCATTAGGACGTATGGATTCAGCAGGTTTTTCTTAGCCTTTTCTGGGTCATAATCTGTAAGAGGAAACCAGAAGTTTAGAAATTAGAAGACCCAGTACTGTCTTTTGGCCTAGGGGAAAATCACTTAGCTTCTAAGGGTTAGTTTCCTCTGAACTATCGGAAATATACCTGCTTAGTGTGTCTTATAGAGTTTTTGATTATACTGTGCCCTAATGCTCTATTGATACAGAGTTATTTTGATAGTAATTGAATTGAGTGTTTCAGAAACTTTGTAGCATTTCCTCCTTTCTTTACCTGATTTCCTTATGCTATTTCCTATTATTTAATGTTACTTCTTTGAGGGGAGGTCACACTAGAGTGCTAAAAAAGTGCAAGAAAAACTCAGTTATTTGTCCATATTTTGGAAGGAAACATAAAAAGACTAGCGCTTCCGTGCCGCCAGCGTCCCCATCGGGCTAACATGTAGGTGCGGAGCGGCGGCAGCCGGCCGCCGGGGCGCCATGAGACGGGGGAGGCACGCTCGCACCTGTGCGGCTGCCCGTTGCGGGACCCCGGCTGCGCGACCCCGGCTGCACGACCCCGGCTGCGCGACCCCGGCTGCGCGACCCCGGCTGCGCACCGACACAGGGCCTGACATGTGGAGCAGCAGCCCCGTGCACCTGACGTTTTCCTCCACTGGAACCGACAGCGTTTTCCCCACAGATTCTTTATCTCAGCTTCAGCGTTTACACCCGGCTTTTGTGGGGAGTTTGCAGTCCTGTGTGTGCTAGACAGTAATAGTTTGTCTGCTGACAGACCTGATCTTTCCAAAGAAATCCAGATTTTCTTCTCCTGGCCGGCTCTTTGGGATAACTGGCTTTAATTGTGGCCTATCTCCGTGACATGTTTGTCACGGACGGTATTGGTGGTGAGAGTAGGAGGAGACAGTGGATACTTTTCTGATATAAGGCAACAGGGCTGTGTGTGGGGATTGGGCCCCCTTTGGTTCCCCGAGTCCTGGAATCCTGGCCCTTCGGGGCTGGCGGCTGTTTAGGTTAATTGGGGGGATTTTCATTTGCAGATGTGAAGTGTTTAAAGAAATAAGAGGTTTCATTGATTCAGAAGGGAATGAGCACTTTAAAACCACCTAAAAAGAGAATAGCAATATATTTTGAATGACATGGTTGGCAGAGCAAGTATCTAAAACAAAGCCAGTGATCCCTGCCTTGGACTGACTACATTGATAGAAAATGATCTTTAAATGTGTGTGCCTGATACTAGAAATAAAACTAAAGTACTAAAACTAAAGTGTCGGGACCAAGAACCACCAAATACTAACAATAGATGAATGTGAGAACGCTTGAAATAATTAGCATGCTGAAATTGGCCCGTTGCTACCAAATATTGAGTGGAACTCTACAGGTAATATGTTGGATGTTCAAGCCTGTATTCTTAACTGCATAACTTAAATTATTAAATACAAGTTAATTTCAAAATAATGAGGTGCTCTGGATTTTCTGACACCCCAGGTGATGAGTGAAGTGCAGGTGGAAGTGCGTGGGTTCCCAGTGTCACATGAATGACACAAGGCCACTAGACTGAGGCGGCTCTAACGCCATGGCCTGCTTAGGCAACGCAGAACCTACGCCTGTGAGGGCCCCAGGGTTGTGAAACCAGAACCTGAGGGGAGCGACTCACAAGCAGCCACCTGTTGCCTGGCACGGGGGAGCGCTCCTAACTATGGCTGGTTTCACACTGCCTGATTCAGGTCAATTTTTGCTCAAATAAACTCTTAAAGTTTTTAATATGCTTTATTGTATTTTTTTTACCATTATCACCTAAGCGAGTATGGCACTATCTACTCTAAATGTTTCTTATCCAACTTTCAGTTATTTGTCATAAACTAGAGAAAAGGACATTGAGAAGCTTCTATTAACTAAAAGTGTTTAGCAAAGAGGTCCATTCCAAGGTACAACAGACTAGGCCACAACAGGTCTTTGCTTCTCCACTAAAAGGCTTCCAGATCATCGGAACTTCTGACCTTGCCTGGCTCTGCCTTCTGACTCTGCAGAGCCGGGCTGGACACTTCTTCTCAGCCTTTGTTGAGAAGGAGGGCTGTTCTATTGATTGGAATTTGGAGATACAGCATTTAGTTCCTTGTTCTCTGGGCCTGCGCCGTCTGCCCGCTGCCCCCCTCCCCCCCCTGCATCCCCCCCTCCCGCCCCCGCCAGTGGCTGGGAGGCAATGGGAAATACCCGGGTCTGACTCCATGGTGAGGATTCCTCATTTGTGCGCTGGCCAGAGTTTGCTCTGGTTCTTTTTTGTTCCTTTCCTTCTTCCATAAGTAGGTCCTACAGATGCCCTTGTACATTTTGGTTCTGCATCTGAATGTCTTTTTTGTTATATCTGGTTGGTGGTTGAAGTTAAAACTCACAAGAGTCAGGCTGTGTGCCCTTGTTAGCACTCGGACTCTGGTGCTCCACCGCGTTAGAGCTCGTGTGCTGCCCGCCGCTTGGCCCTTCACATCACAGGCTGCGCCCTGCCTCCAGCTCAAGACCTACTTAATGGCCAACCTGGAAAAGGAGGCCTCTTTATGCTTTGAAACTCATCAGCTGTTCTCTTGTTCCTGCTCAGCTGGTTCTTTGTTTTTCTTGTTGTTTGAACCCGTCCCCGTTCTTGACAAAGGTGTCTGATCGGGTGACTCACATGTGGTGTCTGGGTGTCCCCATTCCTTACTCCTCAGTGTGAACTAGCAATCCCATCATGCTTCCGCTGTGGGGCATTAGAGGGTAGGGTCTGGGTTAACTCTCCTAATTTAGATGTACGTTAAAACCAAATTAACTCCTATCAAATAAGATGATCTTTTCATCACAAAAGGAGGTGAGATGACAGACAGCCTGGGACCTTAGTCTGCCGCAAGGTTGTCATAACCTGCGAGGCAGGCGTGTGACAGGCTCCCTGACGAATGGCGTTAACCAGCTTCCTGCACACACACATGCAGCCGCGCCGTCACACGCCCCCTGGAATGAAGTCCCCTCTAGTGGTCTCCCCATTGTTGCTACCGTGACTATGTAGCATTGACCTGGTAGTTGTCATTTGAGAGCTTTGTACACTCTCTCATGTAAAAGCCTTACCAAAAAAATAAGGAACAGTTTAGACATTGTCGCAGAACTGTTAAAAAATAGTTTTCAAAATTTTTGACTATAACCCTCAGCAAGAATTATGTGTGTGTGTCTGAAACAGTTTTGTGGAATGTTTTGCTTGTTACATATTTTTCTATTCCACATTATATAATTTTATTAAAAAGCAGTCAGACTGTCTCTGACTCTCTAAATGGATTTTACTACCCATTATGGAGTAATGACCTGCAAGATTAATATAAGAAATTATAGTGATGTTCTTATGTCATCTGGGGGACCAGAAAAATCCAGACTGGACTAACTCCTGTGCTTACTATTTTATTATGCCTTATGAAATGTGTATATTCTTATAGACAAGGACCAAAGGGAAATGTGGAAAGAATACTCCAAATGTTTACTGATCATCTACCATGTGCTAAGCACCATTATAGTCTGTGACGCATGATTAAACAATTAGTGGAACAATTTAGTCTCTTAACGACCACAGCAACAAAAGGTCATGTACTCTAGTGTATGTACTTTGCATAATTTCTTAAGTCGGCATTTTTACCTAGGGATGATATTTTGCAGACCCATATTAAATAAGGCAAGCCAAAACTAAGACAAAAACAAAGCAATCACTTAAGTAGACTTCCCCTCCCTCAAGTTTTCCTTTGTTCTCTTCCTTCTTGGCTTGCAGGTCAGTGAGAGCCTAGAGCAGACTCGGCAAGGTCCCATGACACATTTATAACAAAAATTTGATCATCTTTTAGGGTAGAGTGTGTTTTAATAGAGTTAATTTTTTGCTTTAAGAGGTAAGTCAGTAGAGAATAATACTATTTCCTAACATGAATCTTTGCCACTTCGAACTAGGTGGCTGTTTTGTAAATTCTACTCAGACCTCTGACATGCCCCCTCAACCCCCACATTCCCCAAATCTCAACATGGGCTGCATAACAGGAATTTAGGAGGAAGTCAAATTGTTGGAGATAGTCTCTGCCATTAAAACAAAACAAACGCAATTTCCATTCTTCTTCCATACACTACTGGCAAATAATAGTCTCATAAAACTTTGAGTGAAGGCACTCAAAGTCTGTGGAAATCTCATGCATCACACGTTTCCACACAGATTCATGGTTACGTTCTGTAGGCCTTGATGCTATGAAGTCTAGAGTACAGTGTCAGGGCTGGCCTAGAGTTAGTTGATTAAAGTTGTGCTTTGCCTTTACTAATATCTTCCTTTTATGTTGCGTAGCCTGTCCCTAGGAGAGGGCACCTTCTGCCCAGTGGCCTCTTGGCATCTGTTGGTATAGATGCAACTGGAGTCAGGAAAATACGGGTTTTATTCCTAGTTCTGCACTAACTAGCTTTGTGTGTAGGAGCAGGCCACACAGCACATCTCAGCGCCGTCCTCGTCTGTGAGAGGAGAGACTGGGCTGACTTCTCCGCGGGCCCCAGGACCGCTGAACCCTGGTGTGGGCATGCAAGCTTTCTGTTGGAGAAAATGCAGTCAAAACAGAGGACTCACTACTGAGTCATCTGTGCTGGCAGAAGCAGCAAAAGATTTTATATTGGGAATAATTGCCATGTTTTGGTTTCTTTACTTTTCTGCGTCAGTTGTGACTTAGGAAAGGGACTTCAGACTCACTGTGAGTCCATTGGGAGATCGCTGCTGCATTCTCTGGCTGTTTTGTTTCCCACCCTGTGTCTGGAGGCCCCTTATGTGGTGCTCAGGAGCCACGTGATGTACATAATGTCATGGTGGGGCCACATGGAAGGAAATGCTGCCGACAGTTCCAGTTTCAAAAGATGGAAAAAATAAAGCTATTAGTGATACAAAACAATTTTATATGAGGTTGGACTCTCGGAAGCAAATTAGGGAAGGCCAGTTTAGCATGATGTCTTGGGTGGGGTAGATACGTTTCTGTTCACCAAACTGTAGTCCAAAACCAGGGAGTATCTTTTCAGCCCATATTATTCCATTATCTTTCTGTTTGTGAAAAGTTCATTTACAGTTCTTTTGAGCCCACTTAAAGTCCTAACACCTCTTAAACTGTTATAATGAATGATTGGTTCATAGGAGAGAACCCTTGCTGGTGTCTGAAGCTGGTTTATGAGTGTACTGTTAACCTTCAGGCATTTCTGCAAGTACCAGCCTTGAAGTAGATGGAAACAGCGGGCTTTTCTGAGTGGTCGTCTGCCAGAGCGCAGCTTAGCAGTCACAGACGCCGCTGCTCAGGAATAGCCCCCCAGTTACTGTGTACGCTGAGATACACACCTCTCAAATCTGGCCACATCTCAGGAGTTTGCGTGTGATATGAACATGATGTAACCTGTTTAACCATTAGCCTTGTCCTTAATGTGAAGGTTTTGGAAAGTGGTTCTCATTCTGTCTTTATAAATCGTGTTAACTCTGGATAGTCCTAGGGTGAGTTTGCCAAATGGACTTAAACCTGCTCTTTCTCCAACAGGGTTAGTCATCTCATTTTAGTGGAGCCGTGGGGTTTCCCTGAGCGGCCGGACCTTGCAGATCAAGAGAGACCAATTCCAGTTTGGATCCGAGCCTTGGGAGCTGCGCTGACCCCCTTCAACCCTCTGGCCGGCCTCCGGATCGCGGGGCCCTTTGGTGAGCGCCGAGAGCTCCGCCCCGGGAAAGCCAAGCGTCCGTAGATTAGCAGGAGGGCAGTGTTTACTGATCGCCACTGTTTGTTACAAACAAACCTAAACACTGAACCTTACATTTTCTCCTCCTCTAAAAAGTACCCGTCTGTGCACAAAGATGAATGAAACCAGCCTTCTTCTCAAGGAGGAGGAGCCTTTGTAGTGTCAACATTGCAGCGTTAGCAAAGCCGAGAAGGCGGGGGACGCTGATGCTGTGGCAGTCAGCCGGGCCTGGAGAAGAGCCACGCGGGCCGTTGGAGAGCCTTAGGGAGTGTCTGTGGGGCTGACGACACCCGGCCGCAGGCCACACGCCCCCCTGGATGGGCATGGGGGGGTCACAGGCACGTCACACTCACAGGTGCCTTTCTTTCCCCATCATGTCAGAGTGTTAAGAAGATAAAGTAATTCCTTCCTGCAGAGATTTTGGGGACTCCTGACTTGTGTTTCTGGCCCTATTTTGAGGTACCAGTGTTTAGGCTCTCCTCACTTAAGTTCATTTGACTCTCAGCTCCTCTGTTTCGGCCTCCAGGCCAAGAGAGTTTCCTTCCTGCATTGTCACCGAGGGTGGTGGCCCGGACTTCCGCCTCGCCCTCTTATACGTGTATCAGTTAGGAGGGCTTTTAGCTGCAAGCAGCTGAATACCTGGGTGGCTTAAATCAGAAGACTTTTTATTATTTCCTTGCGAGCAGTCTGGAGGCAGGCGGTTTTAGCATTTGTTCTAGTAGTTAGCCCATTGGGGTTCAGCCTGCACCTGTGCTCTCCTTACCTGTTCCTCTCGGTTGTTTGATGGCTGCACTGGATGAAGCATCACCTCACAGCAGCATTCAGAGCAAGAAGAAAGGGAAGCACAGAAGATGGTCTTTTTTCCACAGAGCTCTTGGTCAGGGAAGAAAGTCTTTCTTGGAAGGGCCCAGCAGACCTCCCCTGATGCTTCTGCCCGCCTCTAGCTCTTTCACCAGAAACCCCCAGATTTCTATGACTGACCAGTCATGATTTCTTCCCAGGCTGGAGGGAGGGGCCTGCTTTCCTGGGCACGTTGTCACTTCATTGATACACAAGAGTCGGGTTCTGTTAGCCAGGAAAGGGGAGAGGCTCAGGGTGGGAGAGGGTGTGGAGTAAGTCTGCGTAGGCGCTGTACTCTGCTCTCCCCTGCCCAGGCCCTGCCCCCACCTGCCCTGGCCCCGCCCCATGGGGACTCCGGGCGTCAGAAGAGGGCACAGGGGTTGAATTGTGAGCACACCACACCCCTCAGAGCTCTCAGAGACAGCTTTTCCCCGCCCCCACCCTTTCCATCCCCTGGGAGGCCACTGCTCCTCAGGGGCCGGGTCCGCCTCTGTGCTACTTAAGGGTCTGCGGAGCAAGTGGGGTTGACTTGACCACAGTCACACAAGGAGCGGTTATGGAAAAAATAAAATGGGGAAGGACATCAGGAGACGGTGGCGACAGAAGGGTGCCTCCCAGCACAGCTTGCAGTGCCGCTGGCGGGGGCGCGCAGCGCAGACTGTCGGCTGCACCATAAAAATTCTTCATGGGTGTGCTTGAGTCCTTCAGAAATAGGAAGGGAGGCCACTGAAGTAAGATCTTGCAGGAATAATAGGCAGTGGTAGCAGAACAAGAAGCTGGCTAGTCACTGGGACCCCTGAAAGGAGCGCAGTGACCAGGTGACGGCTCAGGCTGTTCACCCTTTTTCCTTGGGGGGCCTTGCTCCTGCCCTCCCTGCGGGGCCGTAGGAGCCACCGGGGTGGCCTCCAAGTCCATTCTGTGTATGGACTGTCCTGTTCATCTGCCATGTCTAACAGAATTTATTTTCCTACAAAAACAAGTCTTAGAAAACTGGCATGTGTTTTTGAACTAAAGCGCATCTATAAGTGAGCGTGAGACACCGAAGCTCTCCGGACCGAGCTCGGGGAGAGCAGCCTCTAGGGTTCGAGCTCTTCCCACTGCGGTGCGTTGGAATACACGTGCTGTGCACACTCAGTTCTCATTATACAAGCAAACACTAAAACTTTCTATGTCAGTCAGTCTATAAGCCAGTTGTAATTTAAACATGCAGATAATCTAAGACATTCATTTCCTATTAAATAGGTTTAAGTCTAGTACAGCGTTTAAGGCCCGATTTCAAACGGAAGTATTCTTCAATGTTTGAAGATGATACTGTGACCGAATACATCTACCACTGTAATGTGCAGACTCCGAGGTAAGGACTGTCATTCTCAATTTACTGTGTTCCTGTTTTCGATATTTCTTGTTTGAAAACAAGAAGTTCATTTGATGATTGCAGCTCTCCTTACTAAGCAACTCTTAATGTCTGCAGTGGGTGAGGAGTGTGTGAGGGGCGGGGAAGAGGGATCCTGCCTATATTTTGACAGTATTTAGGAAAGAGCACAGTAGCCAGAGGGAGCAAGAAGGCCAAACCAAGGTGCTTTTTTATTTTCTTAAAAAATATGGCTTATAAAACTATGGATACTGGGTGCAAGGAACCAGAGGAAAAAACAGAACCTGAGGATGGCAGGGAGCTCGGGAGAGCCTGGAAGACAAGAGCCTAGAGTCATGTGATTCCTGAGCCCAGTTTCTAAGAGTCTGACTCCACAGTTCTGGGCTGCATCTTTAACAGATGCCTCTGCTGACGCTGACATAGTGTACAGGCCATGGCCCACACTTTACAGCCGATGCGGTGCCTCATCCTCTGTAAGGCTGAGACTCCGGCACTAGGCCGAGGGGCCAGATGCAGAGACTGCCTCCCTCACCGTTTTCCCTCCCTCCCTTTCTGCGGATATGTATACCTGCTTCACGAAAGACTGAGGCCACAGAAGCTGTTTGGGTGTGGCTGTAGCCTCAGTCTTTGTGATAAAGGAGGTTAAAGCTTAGAGGGAGGCTGGAGAGGTGTGCCGTCCTCTAGAGACTGTTTTGTGACTCAGAGGCAGTCAGATGTCGAGGATTAGGTCGACACACTTTATTGACTTGTTCTGGCAGTTCAGTGATCTGTGCCAGGCACGTCATGTGTTTTCCCGCAGGCCTCAGAGGCATATTCTTCACTTAATAGCACGATTGCTTGTGCTTGGGTGACCTTTCTCACGGCAGGACTTGAATTCCTTATAACAGGCAGGTCAGAAGTATGCCGAGTACTGTAAGGGAAGCAGAAATGACAGCAAAGTGGATTTACTCCGGGAGTTTGCAAAGTGTTGTGACAGTTGCTCAGTCAGGCATGGCTGCAAGTGAAGGCACAGGAAAGAATCAAGAAAACAAAGTCTGTTATAGTCACAGGTCCTGGGGGGTGGTCACTGAATGCCATGGGGGTCACAGAAGAAGCACCAGATTCTGGTCAGGAGGTGGAAGGCAGAAGCAGAGGGAAAGTCTAGGTCAGAGCCTTTATGGGCTGCTTCAAGAAGGGCAAGGCAGGGCAGGGTGGACAGTTCGGGATTGGCTAGTCGAATATCCATGGGCTCAGAGACATAGGGATAGTCCCTAGTAGCCTGGTACTGGTAACTTCAGGTGGAGGGACATTGCCTCCCGAAGGTTTGGGCCAACACAGGAGGCAGGGTTCTGGGTGAGCTCATTTGTGTATCAAAGCCATGTTCCCTGGTGAGTCCTTTGCTCTCTCTTAAGAAATGACTAGCTCCAGGAGACACAAGATCTCTCTAGCCAGAAAGGTGTTAAGATGTCAATTGTCATAATATGAAGAAAATTAAAAATATAAACAACACAGAAAGCGTATTTTCTTATCTTGGTATAGGCTTTGCCACTGCATGTAAAAGCTGGTGTCATGAACCTGTGGAAAAGCTATCTTACCCATTTGAAATAATTCAGGGTGGAAAAACATATTTGTAACTATTGCTATAGGAAATTTAATCATTTAATGAGAGGGAGTTAGGGTTGCATGTTTTGATTTAGAAGAAGATGCCTTTTTAAAAATTAACTAGAGTTTGAACATCCTTGTTTAGCTAACAAAGCATGTATCTTCTGTGGGGTATATACAGATGTATGTATCTTCTATGGGGTTTGTTCCTTACAGTTTGTAGTAGGAAGAGTCTATTTTGTTAGAGGTGGGAGCATGATACATGTTCATCCCCAGAAGTCATCCATGTGATTTTCTTCTTTTCCTTAAAGTGGTGAGACAGCATTCAAAAATATGACTATTCCTTATGGATGGGCAAAAAGGCCAATGCTCCAGAGAATCGGTAAAATGGACCCTGACATTCCAGTTTCGGTGATCTTTGGGGCGCGGTCCTGCATAGATGGCAATTCTGGCACCAGCATCCAGTCGTTACGACCACACTCATACGTGAAGACGATAGTAAGTGTGGGCCTATTTGGGTTTTCAGTTGTAGGTGAGGCCTGTTCTGTGCTATTTGCCTTCGGTGAGATTTCCCGTCTGAGTTGTACACTGTGGCCTTAGTCACAGACCTGGTATTGCTTGTGACAGTGGGAGGGATGGACCCACACAAATCTTCATATCCAGATGGCTCATTGCCTTCCTCAAGGCCTCGCCTGTCCCTCAAGCCGCGGTGTTTCCGAGGTGGGAGGGGCGGGCGGTGGGGCAGGCCCAGGGGCACCTCGACCAGCTCCCACCGCACCAGGCAGCGCGTGCTTGCTTGGGTCAGCTCCTCTGTGGGCTCTCTCAGTAGTGGCGAGTGTGGCTTGGTTTATTTTTTTTGCATGTTAAAGTTTAATAAAGTTCAATAAATTTTTCTCTTACTCTCAGATTCTTTATTTGATGGAAATATACAGGGTGGGGCAAAAGTAAATTGCAGTTGTGAGTACACAAAGCAGTGGATTCTTGTGTTGTTATTTATTAATTATTGTATTATTTCCCACTTGAACAACTGTAGACCTCCTTTTGCCCCACCCTATATAAAGCTAGTGGCCACAGAAAGCTTTGCTGCTGCTTTTATGTTTTGTTCGTATATAGCTGTTCTCACGGTCATGGTTAAGTGCCTTTGCCTATGTTGTTGTTTTAGTAAATGCGTTTACTCACTGGCCATCGGACTGCTTTCCCTTCCCAGGCCATCCTCGGGGCAGGGCATTACGTGTATGCAGACCAGCCGGAGGAGTTCAACCACAAGGTGAAGGAGATCTGTGACTCCGTGGACTGAGCGCCCCGGCCGGGAGTGGGAAGCCTGCTGACCAGTCCTCAGCGGCGGCGGCTCACTCTCCGACGAAGAGCGAGGGTACCACAGAACCAGGCGGTCTCCTTGGCTGTCCTTTGCACACGTGTTCCCTGTGAAGCTGCTTGCACACTTAAACCAGTTAGTGCCTTCTACACGAATGCCTTTCCTTTCTCCTACACAAAGCCAAATATGCAAGAGTCTCCGAATCTCTTTAGCTGTAGTAGAAAGTTGTTTGTCCCTCTGCGGTACTGAAAAGTGGTAGTTTTTCAACTGAACTTTTTTCATTTCTATCTAAATTTGCTGTGTCAGCTACTTTTTATATTTCAGTCTGTATTGCCTTATTTTAAAAAGTGATTTCTGAATCCGTATTTTATATACTGTAAAGGTGCACTTTATTTTGTCTGCTCATATTTACCATGTCTAATAAGTGATGTAGTGCATCAAAATTCAATGTGTTTTTATGTAAAAGACGTCACCTTTTTAGAATACTTTACTTTTGAAATGGAGTGATGAGACAGCGTTTTGGTTGAAAACATAGGAATTGATCATTAGCATTAATTTTCCTGATTTTCCTCTGTTCTCTGTTTAAAGCTGCAAAGCCATGGTCAGCGCTTTAAATGTGATCTGCTCTGACACATGTGCAACAATATATAACCCGGGGGAGCTTCTATGTGTGTTACAGTTCCACACTTCCAGCCAAACACAGCGTTAGTACGTAAGTGATCCAGGTCCTGGAAAGCCTTAACTAAGTCTGTCCTTTCTCCTCCCTTAATACTAGCCTTTTCTATGAGCCAGGATGCAGCAAAAGGACAGATCTCCTCACTGAGGGAAGATGAAGACTGTTACCTCCCAGTCAGCCAAATCCTATGTTTTCATTCACATCTAACTTTTAAAGATGGGTGCTAACTGGATTCTATATTTACCACTAAAATACAAAAAATAGGTGGTGCTATTGTATCTCATAGCACCAGAGATGAGCTAGCACTTGGGTTTGTTTTTTTTTAAACGAGTTTTGTGTTGATTAAATAATTTACATGCTTGAAGTTATATTAAAATTCTATAAAGTTGATTGAACTATTTAACAATAACTACCATCAAATGTAGTACTTTTTTGCTGTTTTAAAATGAGAAGAACGTCTTTGAAACTGTGAAAAAGCTCCATGTGGTAACTGGCTGCTGAGAAGACCCTCTGAAAAAGAACATTAAATAGGACTGTTACCAACAAGGCATTTTTGACTACACATTTTGCTAATGTTGCTTGTCTAGGAGAAAGGTGGTTATGTAAATAAAAACTAAAACTTAGAGCAAATAATGGTGTAGTGATTTTGACTGTTGCATTTTTAAAATAGTTAATTAGGAAATTTCTGGTGGTTAGGAGAAGTAAGGTTGTTATCACCGTTGATTAACTGCCAAAAAGGCCGAATGTTCTGTTTTCAACATTCTCCCACCTGCAGAAGAGTAGGCAATGTAGACAGATTATACTGAGGCACATCAGGTAGTTTCCCAGTGAATTTATCTAAGTTGTCACATTAAGTAGTTTAGTGCAAAAGGTAACATGAGCCAAGACATGCCAGATTTCTCTACCTTTAGAACAAAAATAGCCTTTATTTTTTAGTTAGTGTTCTAGATGGCCAGACTCAAACCTGTGTGTGGTACAGGTGACCAGGCACTATTCCTATTTGACAGCCCCTCCGGTCTCTCTTCATTATTCTTTGCAGGATGAATAACAGCTCCCTCTTGTCTGGGGGGGTTCCTGTGCCGGGAGCCCGGTCCCAGCCCTTGGAGGGGCGTTTCTGGGTTCGCGTAGTTAACGGGGTTCCCGGCCATGAGTGGGCCAAGGGATTCAGGAAGAAGGTGTGCCCAGGTGTCCAGTGGAACTTACTTTCCGACTGACCTTGCTTTATTTGAGAAGCATTGTCCTAATTCTTTTTAAAGGTTAAATTTGACCTCAGGCTGTGGCATACGTAATTTTATGAAAATTGAGCGGGCAGAGAAAGCCCCAGTTCTGAACATACAGTGGGCGCTCAGGATCAACTCTATTACGCTCTTTGATCTTTGCTAAGTTAATGCACGAGGCACTTTATTTTCAGACACAGCAAGACCACTGCTGAATGTTTTATTGAGTGTTTCGTGCGCCTGTGCCAGCCAGACGGCCACAGAGCCCGCAGGCGGCCAGCAGCGCCCGCAGCCTCGGGGAAGCCTGCCTCAACGCAGCTGCTGTTTTCTCCTGCAGCCGGTTATAGACAGCTGGGCGGGAATTGGTTTCAGAATATTATCTAGAAAACACTTAAGAAATGTCTTCATTTATATATATTTTATATGTATTTATGTGTACATTTGAAGAGCATACTATATTCAATAAAACAAGACTTTTTTTTTCTGTATAAAGGTATTGGGAAAAATAATAATAGCCTGAAGAACCCTGGAAAAGAACAGTGGGGGCGGGGGGGATAACCCTTCTAGATGTTATAATGTGCTGTAAACCATATAGAGAAGTTCAGAAATCTAGTATGTGATAAAGGGATCACCTTATTGATAGAGAGAAAGACTAAAAAATGGTGTTAAGACAAATTGTGGTTAACTATATGGAAGAAAATACAATTAAATCCATTGCTCACACTGCGCACAAGGATAAAATCTGAATGGATCAGAGACCCAGTTGTAAAAATGCAGCCTTCTAGTTAACTAGAAGAAAGCATAGGTGAATTCCTTCAGAGTCGGAGAGTTCGGGGAGCTTCCCTCTGAAAGCAGGAGACGTGAACAGATAGGCATTTGCTTCTATTTTTTTTAATGCCATGGAAGATCAGTTACACCAATAACCAATCAAGCACTTCCGTCAGGGGTTGGGGTGGGGAGCTGGGCAGGGAAGGCAACTAGATCTTGTTTCATACTTTGCTTTGGGACCCTGTCGATGTTTTCCATGAAAAAATAAAATAAAGAAGCAATTCTTGAAGCTAAAACAAATTTGTCTATCAAGTTGGAGGTTTAACCACACTTAGAGGAATTTCTTCAAGTGACACTAAAGCCTAGCATTTTGTCTGAGCTTTCCTAGTGGAATATATCCTACAGGCCAAAAAACTGTAAATAAATCTTAAGCTGCACTCAATATTTTTATTTTTAGTAATGACATTGGTGTCATTTGAAACTCTGTATGTGTGTGTGTGTGTGTATATATGATAAAGCAAACATTATGTCAGTGGAATTCAGAGCCAAGATTTTTAGCACAAGAGAAGAAATCGAATAAAATCACATAGAGATCCTGTAATTGTATGTTTCAATCGGAAGTAACCAGTACAACACTGCAGTCCAATTTTCTCTCTGAAAACACCTGTTGCACAGCCTTGTCCATTGAAGCGATCACAGCCCAGCTGTAAGGCCCGCCCCAGCACCCAGACTCCCCACTGGGAGGGGCAGGGGAAGGGCGACACGAGGCTGGACGGCCGTGTGTCTGCAAGCAAGGAAGCACTCAGAGTAAAACCATGTGAAAAGGCCCCCAGGGCCACCTTGAAGGGACTTCATCTGCCAAAGCTGGAACAGAGCGCCAAAAAGAAGCGTGGACCAAAACATGAAATACATACAAATTCATGAGGTCCTGATGAACAGCTAAAAACACACAGATATCGGCCACCTTTGGAGGTTAGTAGGGTACCAATCCATTATTTTGAAAACTTCTAACTGGGAAATGGAAACATTTCTTCTGACTTCATGTGTCAGGTTAACCTGATAAGGGAAAGTTCTCACTCAAGTGTCCAGCTGCAGGCTGCATGCAGTCCAGGACGGCTATGAATGTGGCCCAACACAAAACTGTAAATTTACTTGAAACCTTTTTTTTCTTTTGCTCATCAGTTTTAGTGTTTGTGTATTTAGTATGTGGCCCAAGACAACTCTTCTTCCCATGTGGCCCAGAGCTGCCACCAGGTTGGATACCACAACAATGCCAGGAAAATGACAGGATTAAAAAGTCACCGTTTTGTCAGTTCTATGGTTCTAGGCTGCTACAAGTATTAGGTGAAAAGTTGATGAGAAATGTTTTATTGCGTGGCCCTGGATGACAGCATTTGAACCCAGTGATCAACAGCAGCGTTACTGAAATAGGAGCAATCACAAGTTACATGCCTCTGACTTCGTCAGGATAGGAAGACCCCCACACCAGCCATGATGAATTATTGCCCGCCCCCCAAAAATGAACCTGAGGTTAATCAAGTGTCTATTATCTATCAGTTTGTAAAGACAGGTGATATTGAGGAACATGTTAACACTAAATCCAGAATGTGGGGAATTCCATAGGACAAATAATTCGGTGTCTTCAACAAAGTGAAGGTGTGAAATAGAGATGGCGATGGTGGGACGTGAAGACCGGGCCGACTTAAAGGACGGCTCTGGATCCTGATTTGAACAAAACCAACGTAGGCATGGGCAGGAAATAGGTAAAATGAGCAAGGTGGTACGCTGAAGTGGAATGACAGACTACAGGGGCTTACTCTTTTCTTTCCTCTACTTCTGTGCCTGCTTAGCGATGTCCATAATAGGAATTTAAAGATGAAAGAAACGGGAGCGATTGGAGCCTGCCAGTATGTATCTCTGAAGTTAGATAAAGGTATACACATGCTCCTATAAGTAGGCGTTTTCGGGAGGATAAACATGCCCATAAGTTTAACAGTGTTTTGTTTTGAAGAGAGGCAATTCTGTTGAATATGCTTTTGTAAAATTTGGTTCCTTGTGCATTCATTACATTTTAATGGAAACCATACAAAAGCTAGGGAAAATTTTTCATTAATACAAAATAGGTAAGAAAACCTAAGGGCCTTCCCAGCTGGGGTGTCACCTGTGTGGATGTGTGGGCCAGACTGGAAGAGGGGCAGCTGTTCAGAGGTAGAAGGCTGTAAGCCTTGGTACCCTAATCATCAGAAATGGCGCTGTAGAGTTCTAACTGGCCTGCCTCTGTTCTCTCTAAAAGAGAAGCACAGCCCAACACAAAACCACCCTTCTTCTTTCACTTGCACTTGTTGAAACGGTCACCTGAATTAGAATATCTCTATCTATTAAGCTCCACCTCTCCTTCTGTCTCTCCTCGCCTTGGAGAAATATGCATCACCGTGTATCTCCTGCTATTTCCTCTAAAAACTCTCCTTAGGAAAATGTTAATGCTACATTAAATTAGGTCTCGTTAAAATCTATTTGCCTCTTTTCCAGCTGCAGCCGAGCTTTAGGATCATGTAGTTAGATTAGACCCAGAGTTAAAATCAAGAAATATTTTTAGCCAGTAGTTTCCTAAATGAATGGGTAAGAAATTTTATTCTACCGTACACTGTAGACCTTAAAAAATTTCTACATCCTCACAATGCTTAGAAGGTTTCCACGAAGTACCCATTAATTGTTGGACCCTTTGGAATAACCCACGCCTACTTCTACCTTATGAACCATTGTGTTCAGTTGGAGAGGGGGTCACCTGGCTGACAGATAGGAAGACTGAGAGTTCTCAATCAGGTGTGCCGCGCTGTGTGACTGACTCATGGAGACAGGCAATGAAAAGCTAAATGACTGGGTCCATTTCCTCCTCGGTAATGGGAGGAGAGACGTATTAGTCACAGTGACCAGGGCAGTGGCAGAAGTGCGTTACCAACATCCCTGCTATGCGTGCCGCGCTCATTAAGAGCTGTTCCCCAATTTTTACCTATGAATGTGTTTATAATTAGACGTTACAGCAATAGAAACAATTAAATGTTGAGGCCAAGATGCCAGACACACATGACTGGTGTTTTTACCTTCCTGTGCCAACCAGCTTGCTGTGCTTCTGCTGTGAAAACCCCAGCAGATCTTTAACGTGTTATCTATTCGAGACTTGAAAATGCTGCCCGCCATGGGGTGGAGGGGCCCCGCGGGGAGAGCAAGTGGGGAGGAAGGTGGCAGAGGAGGGCCTTGTGCTCACCTGCGGGAGGCGCCCGGTGGACAGCCGTCTTAGTCTCCATGCGGCCTTGCGCAATAGCAGGCAGTTTTCAGCGATGACCTTCAGGAGTGGAGCATCTCCTCTCTGCCTCTGAGTAACCTCGCAGCTTCGCGTGGCCAGCACCAAAGACGCAGGCGGCTGACATGCCCCGCTTGGCATCCAGAGACAGGCACCGCGCACTCCAGCGAAGCCTGTTTCCCAAAATATGAGCCCAAGATGTGACCGCGTCAACTCACAGGGCAGCAGGCCTCAAACTCCAGTGTGCCCGCGCCGTCAAGCCCGTCTGTCGCAAGCGCAGCATCGAGGCGCTGCACAAAGAGATCCGCCTCGGCAGAGCTGCGGGCCTGGGAATCTACGTTTTCCAC